AGATATTTTGTCGAATATTAGAGTAGTAGTATTTACTATTAATTATTTTAGAGTCAGTATATACTGACTCTAAAATAATTAATAGTAAATACTACTACTCTAATATTCGACAAAATATCTTTCAACCAAATAACTATCGACGAAATATCATTCGACAAATTTTCGTTCGACCAATTATTTTTCGACGAATAGTTCATTCGACGAATAATCATTCGACATTCGACGAATCGTCTTTTCGACGAATAATCGTTCGACCAACAGCTACCTCCCCTTTTAATTTTGTGTTTTTTTGTGCTAAAGTAAATGTATTCTGGAAAAATAATGAGTTTTTATAAACTTTGACCGAAGTCCATTAATGAGGACGATGAATACGAATATAATTGGTCTTTCAAACTTCCATATTGAACGTTTTTACTTTTCAAGTCTAAGGGAGGAAAGAAGAAGAAAAAAATCAACCACATCATTTGACAAAACAGACTGCAGATTTTGATTCCTCGACTCAGATTACCCTTGGTCAAATTCTATGGAATCAAAGTTTTCGTTCCAAAGCTTTTCTTTTAGCAGAACAAGAGTAAATTTATCAATTTGAAGTGTTAATTGCCTTCCATGGTGGATCGAATTCAGACCGGTTTCAAACCGGAATACCGGCTGGTCTAAATTCTGAACTGGTACCGGTTGCATCTATAATTAGGGTTTCTTGTAGCAATTGAAAATATTAAGAAATATTTTTGCAAAAAAAAAATAAAAGTGGAAATTATTAAGCATCGAACTCTCTAAAAAATGTGCGTTTTCCAGTAAACATGGAAAAGGGCTTTCAAGCGTGGAAAGTCAGAATAGGTTGTCGAATATATCTCAAAAACCCATAAAAGCTCTCATAGATGAAAGATAGATCTCCGAGCTCTGGAAACCATTTTTTGGTTTACTAGAAAACGGACATATTTTAGAGAAAACTTGAATGAGCCAGAATATCGTTAACATTTACTCTCGTCTTGCATCTGCAATGAGTCGAAAACGATTTGATGTATACTCTACAATCATCACTCATAGCATTTCAGCATTTAGTGCACTGATGAATTACTCAAGCATTCAGTTCCACGATTCATAAATTTCACGAAGTGAAGTACACATTGATTCTAACGTTCTTTTATCTTTCTCCTCTGATATATCCCCCCCTATGATTCATCAGCATAAAGAGGGCTATCAGTCACCAATAGCTCCGAAACTGTATCAAAAGCAGACGCCGTTGTCAAATCGGAAAATTACCAACGAAAGAAACACGAACAAACGTCTTAGAAGTAACATATCTCCATCGAATCAACAACAAGCGGAAACACAGCAGCGAGTAGAATCTGATTCACATATGGTGACTGATCGAACGATGAACTCAAAAATATCATTTCCGGCGATAGTCATCAAATTTAAAGATAAACAAAAATCTTCAATCAAAGAAATTACTGATGATCTAATCTCGAAATGAAAAAATCAACATGGAATTGCCTTAGTGATCACAGCGCGCTTTGGTCATATGCAGTCTCTTCTCGTCTTTGCCGATGACTCTTCAACCTTTGAATCATTATTAGATCCAATTCGATGGCCACTAAAACTAAAGGAAGTTGAAACGGAAGTTAAAGTCCCACGTCAACTACCGTCAGAATATTCACTTGTTATTCAACAATTTCATCGCAACTGGAACGAAGAAGAACGGTTGAGTGAATTGCAGCAACGATATGTCTCTCTATACAACAGTACAAGATTGCGTGTACGAGCCGGTTCATCATTAAATGCGGTTCGAGCTGATTTCCGATCTATTGAAGAAATTAAAACTCTTATCAGATCGGGAAAAATTAATATTGGTAGTATGATACATTCAGTAAAACCATATCACTTACCAATTTGTATCAACAAATGTTTAAAATGTCTAAGACATGATCATACGACAAAAAGCTACACTCGACCACGTTGATGTCCAAAATGTGCTGAAGAACATTCACTTGAGCATGGTTGTCCCAATAACGAATGGTGTGTTAATTGCGGTGGGGATCACATTTCTGGACATTCAGCTTGTCCAATTGTTCAAGAACAACGTCGAGCTCTCGTCGAACAATTGAAACGACAAAGAGCTGAACTTTTGGTACTCGCAGATCGACAGCAACATCAATTTGGCTATCAAGAACGTGACTTCTCAGTTATAAGTAAGGATATCTCGACTCATTCATCTTTCTGAGAAATATCTCAGCATACTGGTGCGTCTATGAGATCTTATGCTCAAGTAACTCAAAATCATCATGACCAAGGCCCACAGAAAAACATCGAACATACATTGTCTACTTTCTTCAACAAAATGGAACGCCGATTAGACGAATTTTCTTCTCGCCTGTCATCACAATTGTGTGATATTGAAAAGAAAATTAATTTATCTTCCGATCGACAGTGTGACATAGAAAACGTTATAAATGAAATAATTCTTCCGTCTATTCAAGAGAGAGCTCACATATTATCACTATCACCTAAAACTCAAACTTCTCAAGAATCATTCAAAAAGTTTAATAATAAAATTAAAGGATTACTAACAAATCGTTGACCTTACTTAGATCAGTACAACCATCAATTAACAGCCAATCACATAGATCATCCGAATTAAAATGCCCTGCACCATTAACCCAACCTCGCAGCAGTTCAACAGATATAAATTCATTGAATTATCAGACAAATTATTACCCTTGATATATGATGTATCTTCTCACCAAAAACAGATTGGACTTGAAGCATTACAGGAGTGTTGTTGGACCTGGAATCTGAATAAAGTTTCACATTTTTGGCAACAGCAATACAATCAACCAAAAACAGTATCAAATTGCCTTTCATTACTGCATTATAATATTCGTCATTTCTATTCTAATCAAGTTGATCTTATTGAAATGGTCAATACCTTTTCTCCAACAATTATCTCTCTCAACGAACTTGGCACACCAGTTCTGGACAAAACAATTAAACAACTTCTGTTTTCTTACAACTTTTATACAAAAGAAGGCACAAATCCACATGGTGGTGTTGTACTTGCTGTGGACAAAAGATTACAAAGTCATCTAATAGAAAGTAATGAAAGAAATATTATCGCAGCTCGTATTATGGTTGATGGGTAACAGTTCGTCGTGGCAAGTTTATATTCACCACCAATTGAACAATTACCGTTAGATACAATGATAACCTTGCTTACTATGTCGAAAAATATTATTATCGCAGGTGATTTAAATGAAAAACATACTGACTGGGGGATGTCAGCAAGTGAATACTAAGGGACGTCATTTGTCCAACTGGCTTAACACACACAAATTGAATGTACTGAATGTTGGCACTAAAACATCATCGAGATCCAACACAACGATCGACCTTGTTATATCCAATGAAGTACCAGAAACATCTGATAGTCAATCACTAGCTTATACAAGCAGTGATCACTTACCAATATTAACTAATTTCTTTCGACTTAATGTTTTAACTGAAAAGTACCTTGTACCTCGAACATATTGGAAGTTATATTCGGCGATTCTGACTGTCCTTCATAATCAACTACGTGCTGAACAAGAGACTGTCTTGAATGACTCGAACGACACATTCAATTGGTTCCTTAGTTTGAACAATTTCTAGCTGCTCTTAAGCTTCGGGTAGCGGTATGGCAAGAAGTCAGTCGTACACGACCATCCATCTCATCATCACTGCGAATTCTTCTTCGTCATAAACACTATTTACAAAATAGATATAGGCACACAACATATGAAGAAGATCGACTAAGGTTAAGGTCATGGAATACACTGGTTAGACTCGAATTTCAAGCACATAGACAACGAAGTTGGGAGCAATTTATATCAAGTGTTGCTTCACCAAATCCAACAAATTTCTGGCGTACTGTGAAAAAACTGGACAAGAAGAAATCAATCGAATTTTCAGCCCTAACAGATAATAATACAGTACATCGATCGCCAGAAGATGTAGTCAAGCGCTTAGAACAACATTTTACTCAACGTTATTCAAAACCTGTATTGAATATGATGAACAAACTCGATAAGGAAGCAACTGAAATATGGGAATCATACCGTTTAGCTGACGAAGAAGATATGAAATTAGTATCTGGTTATTCTAATCTTCAATTTACGGAACGAGATATAAAAAATACAATTCAATCCTTAAAGTGTAAAAATTCGTCTGTTTTTGATCAGGTGTCTAATAAAATGATCAAATTGCTGCCTGCCAAGATCCATGCCACCCTCACACTTGCTTATAATAAACTCTTTGAAGCAGCTCATTGGGGAAAAGAATGGAAGATGGCTCGAACTAAGTGTCTTAATAAGTGTGACAATCCAGCACCAAGGACAAATCAACTGCGGCCAATTTCGATGCTGCCAACTTTTAGTAAAATGTACGAAAAATTATTCTTACTCAGATTTAACAGTTGGTCACAGAGAATGAATATTCTACCAGCTCAACAATCAGGTGCAAGAACGCACCAAGCCACAACATCTCGAGTCAACCACCTATTAGAACAAATAACCCAGTCTATTCGCTACAATACGTTTGCGCCAGTCATCTATATTGATTTTCTACAAGCCTTTGACATGCTTTGGCAAAAATGACTTCTTCTTAAGCTAAATAGACTCAATTGTCCATCAGCATATATGCCTTGGATTGCTAAATATTTTACCAATCGTACCCTCAAATTGACTATGGTGGCGTCAAGTCAGTACCGATCAATGTTGAACGTGGAGCCCCCCAGGGCAGTTGCATGGGTCCCGTATTGTATATAATCAATCATCACGATCTACCTCAATGTTTCGAAGAACCAACTTATGTCCACGCATATGTGAATGATATTGCTATTGCGTATACCCCATCAATGCATTTAAGCTTCAAATTCCAAATTGTTGATATCGAGAAACATATTAACAAAGACATGTTAAATCGGCTGAAGTATGCCAAGGACTGGCATCAGCCTCTTAATCCGAACAAAACAGAATTAGTCGTTTATCATAAAACAATTCGATGTCCAAAACTGGATATTTACTATGATGGTGTAAAAATCGTGCAAGAAAAAAACTTCAAGTACCTTGGCTTTCACCTCGATGCAAAGCTATCATTTCGATGCATGATCGACACTCAAGTTTTTAAACTAAGAAAAGCATATGTGATATTAAAATTCATTCGCCGCCAATTTCCATCATTTTTTGAATTAAAAATTAAATTCTTCAACACTTACGTCTGACCTCACTTGTACATGATAGCAACAATATATTGCTTATTCTCAATGACCTCGCGCGATAGGGTTGCGGGTTTTTATCGAAGATGCCTAAGATTGATCTACTGCTTATTTCAGTGCTCAACGGAAGATCTACACCACCACTTTCAACTACCAACAATCGAGCAAAGAGACAAAAAGTAACTTTTAAAGTGCATGAAAAGTGTGGGTGTGGGTGTGGGTGTGGGTGTGGGTATGGGTGTGGGTGTGGGTGTGGGTGGGTGTGGGTGTGGGTGTGGGTGTGGGTGTGGGTGTGGGTGTGGGTGTGGGGGGGTGTAGTGGGAGGTGTCAGTATGACTGGAGGGAGAGCGCGCATACTCGCACCGCGACCACGGCGGAACCGCCGC